GGAATGGTGAACCAGACTGGATGCAGGCAAGTTGGTTATGAGGTTATCATCCAGGTGAGATAATGGTGATCGTGGAGATGGCGAGAAGTAGAGGGAGCTGTAAGATGAATTAATACTGAGAGGATATGAAGAATGGGAGACTGGAGAGAATGTTGAAGGAGAGGGAGAAATCAAGTACGTATGAATGTATGATTTCTTTTTTTTTTGTAGCTAAATTTCATGTTCTTTTTTTTTTTTACAGTTTATTGTCAAGTTAGTATGTAAGTATGTATGATTTCTTGAATGGTGTTGTCATCCATTGAGCTGGAGAATGGGGGAAGGTCTCACTGGATCAATATTTAGGCAGGGGAATAAGATAGATCTTGGAAATTATTGGATATCAGGTTCTAAAGGAGATGGAGGACTGAGTTTTCAAAGATATAACCTGAGGGGCACCTGGGTGACTTAGTTGGTTAAGTCTCTGACTCTTGATTTCAGCTCAGGTCATGATCTCATGATTCATGAGTTCGAGCCCTATGTCAAGCTCTGTTGACAGTGGGGAACCTGCTTGGGATTCTCTCTCCCCCTCTCTCTGTTCCTCCCCAGCTTGTGCACTCTCTCTCTCTTTAAATAAAATAAAGTCATTTGAGAAAGATGTGACTTGTCACAGCTGCACTACCAAAAGTATTGGCCTCTAGCCACAAGTGGCTATTTAATGTAATTAAAATAAAAATAGAAAATTCCATTCCTCAACTAGCTACATTATAAGTGCTCAATAGCCACATGTAGCTAGTGGCTGCCACATTGGACAAGACAGATATGACATATTAATTGTTGCAGAAAGTTCCAATGGACAAGGGCGCCTGGGTGGTTCAGTTAGTTAAGCCTCTGACTCTTGATCTCACTTCAGGTCTTGATCTCATGGTAGTGAGTCCAAGCCTCATATTGGGCTGCATGCTGGGTTGCAGGAAAGGAAAGGAAAGGGAAAGGGAAAGAGAAAGGGAGAGGGAAGGGAAAGGGAAAGGGAAGGGGAAGGGAAAGGGAAAGGAAAGGGAAAGGGAAGGGAAAGGGAAAGGAAAGGGAAAGGGAAAGGGAAGGGAAAGGGAAGGGAAGGAAAGGAAAAGAAGGGGAAGGAAAGAGAAAGGGAAAGAGAAAGGGGCCTCTGAATCCACTTGAGATCTTCTGCCTCCCTCTTTCTGCTCCTTCCCTGCTCTCTTTCGCACTCTCTCTCTCTCTCTCCCTCTAAAAAAAACAAAACATAAGAAAATAAAAATAAAAGAAGAAAGAAAATTCCTCAATGGACAGATGGACAGCACTGCTCTAACAATTGGCATTATTTGACGTTTTGTAGTAAACCAAGTCCACGTCCATCTTTGCCTTTAATCCAGCGTGATGTTGTTGTCTTGGGTTTCTAAGAGTTTGAGTCAATGCTCTAAACACTGACATCTACCATGTGTTGTGCTGAGCTCTAAGACAGTAGATGCAAAATATGGACCGTACCTGATGCCCATTTGTAATCTATTACCTGCTCAGGATAATATAAGTACAGAAATTGAGAATAAGATTTTAGAAAGTTTTCTAGCAAACTGACATTGCTATAAAATATAAAATTTCATTGTATTTCACATAAGTACCAGTCTGCAACGGATTGTTAATTAATTTAGTTTTAAGTTGTTTGTATTTATTTTTTAAAGATTTTATTTATTTTTTTAAGTTTATTTATTAATTTTGAGAAAGAGAGAGAGAGAAAAAAGAGAGAATCTTAAGCAGGCTCTGTACTGTCAGCACAGAGGCTGATGTGGGGCTTGAACTCACAAACCATGAGATTATGACCTGAGCCAAACCCAAGATCCAGACACTTAACTAACTGAGCTACCCAGGTGCCCCTTTAAGGTTTTATTCTTAAGTAATCTTTATCCCCAACATGGGGTTCAAATTCTCATGAGATCAAGAGTCTCATGCTCTACCTCTGAACCAGCCAGGTACCCCTGGATTGGAAATTTAAAATGTTAGTCCTTTGTTACTGCTCCAAGGTACAAGGATGAGTTGGACATGGTTCCCGCCCTCCAGAGCTCAGGTAATGAGGAGGGAGCCAGAGGGTCTAGTTGAGTTGAGCAAACATTGGCATGCAGACTTGATATACATCAAGTATATCAAAAATGATTCAAAAACACATAAGAACACTCATTCACTTGTTTATTCATCTGGCATTTACTGAGTGCCTACTATGTGCTAAGCACCATTCTAAGCACTAAGGATACTGCAGTGAACAAGATAGACAAGGCACTCACCCTGCTGGAGCTCACATCTAGTAAGACAGACTATAAACAAGTTCACCAAGTTACCAAATAAAATGGTCTGCAAGAGTGCTAAGTGCTGGGAGGGAGGTAAGAGGGATGGGATAGGGCATGACTGCAAGATGGGTGTTGCTGGTGTACAGGGTGGTCATAGGACTCTCTCTCTGAGCTGAAATCTGAGGATGGGAATGAACCAGTTATGAATTGATTACAGGGAACAGGATTCTGGGCAGAGGGAATAGTCAGCACAAAGGTCCTCGGGTGGAAATGGAATTGGCTTATGTGGATAATAGGAAGGCCAATGTGGCTGGAGGACAGGAAACAAGGGGGAGAGTAATAGTAGAAGCTGATGGGGGTGGGCAAGAGCTAGACCTTGTTGCTCAGAAGGAATCAAGATTTTATTCTAATTGTAATGTAGTGTTCAAGCAGGGGAGCAAGGCAATATGATGTGGGTTTGTAAAAGATCTCTCTGTTGTGTGGAGAATGGGCTGAAGAGAGGCTAGAGTAGAAGCAGGGAGACCAGTCTGCTGTGGCAGACATCCATTTGAGGGAAGATGGTGACTTGAATGAGATGGTGGCAGCAGAAGTGAAGTGGCCAGAAGGTGAATCAGATCAAGCCTCTGCTGTCCATTGCTTGGAACAAGGGATTTCACTTGGGATGAGTGGATGAACTTCAGGAGGCCACCAAGGCCCATGTGACTGTATAAAAAGCCTTATGTTTAGGTGCTTACGAGAGGTAGATCTTCCATTAGGATCCATAGGTAAATAACATTCAATAAAGTGGTAAGTGTTCTTCATTCACAAGATCCAGTGTCTGAGGCCAGGGTATGAAACTCGCCATCATCAGAACCACCATTAAAAGACATCTGAAGTTACAACAACAACAACAACAACAACAACCCAAAATGGAAAACAGCAAGTGTTGGCAAGGATGTGGAGAAACTTGAAGCCTTATATATTACTAGTGGGAATATAAAATGGTGTAGAAACTGTGGAAAACAGTTTTAGTGGTTCCTTAAAAAGCTAAACATTAGAATTATCATATTACCCAGCAATTTCACTCTTAGATGTATACCCAAAAGAATTGAAAACAGAGACAAATTGTCACTATTCAGCGAAGCAGTATTCACAATAGCCAAAAGGTGGAAAGAACCCAAGTGCCCACCAGCTGATGAACAGGTAAACAAAATGTGGTATATACATGCGACAGAACATCATGCAGCCTCTGTGAAGTTCGGACACCTGCTACATGGACGAACCTTGAAAAAACACTGTTCAGTGAAATAAGCCAGACACAAAAGCATAAATATTGTGTAGTTCAACTTACATGAAATATCTAGAATAGGCAAATTCATAGAGACAGAAAGTTGGTGAAAGGTTATCAAGGACTGGGAGAGAGAAGAATGTGTTCGTTTGCGTTCATGAAAAAATTCTGGAAACATATTACAGAGAACTATACATTTAAAAATGGTAAAAATCAGGGCGCCTGGGTGGCTCAGGCCGTTAAGCGACCAACTTCAATTCAGGTCATCATTTCCCAGTTTGGTTTGTGAGTTTGAGCCGCACATCGGGCTTTGTGCTCACAGCTCAGAGCCTGGAGTCTGCTTCGGATTCTGTGTCTCCCTCTCTCTCAAAAATAAACATTAAAAAAAAATTTTAAATGGTAAAAGTCACATACACGCACGCAAAAGGTAACTGAACAATTGGTGTTGATATGGAAGGAGCAAAGAGCCAACAAGGATAGGTAGTCTGGGAGAAGTACCTGTTCCAGGTGATGTTTAGGGCAAGTTGCCAAAGGGGGCAATCAGTGAGCAGGCAATCAATGAGCTGTATTTACAAGTAGGATTTCCACACCAAAAAGAAGAGGAAAAGTTCCTGGTAAGCTCTGGGACCTAGCTTCCGGACACTGCCTGGCTTGTAATCTTGGCTCTGTGACCTAGGGGGGCGGGGGGGGGGGGAGGGCTGCCCTGTGCCTCAGCCTCCCCGTGTATAAAATGTCAATAATAATGGTACTTTCTGCTAGGCTGCTATGAGGATTAAATTAGTTAATGCACGTGCAAGTACTGTAATCAGTTCTAATCAGTTCTCGGCACACCGTGACTTATGTAAGCGTTAGCTATCTGGGGCGCCCGGGGGGCCAAGTCCGACTTCACATCAGGTTCCAGCCCTGAGCCCAGCTGTGTGATGACAGCTCAGATCCTGGAGCCTGCTTTAGAGTCTGTCCCCTCTCTCTCTCTGCCCCTCCCCTGCTCGCCCTCTGTCTCAGTCTCTGAAAAAAATAAAAAACGTTAAAAATTTAAGAAAATAAGCGTTAGCCATTCTTTTTAACTTTCTTTATGAAAATAAACGTTATTGTGGGAAAAAAAGCTAAGAAGAAAATAGAAACACGTAACTCCACTAGGCAGTGGCATTCCTCGCTAAGCACGTATCGTACTTTCGTACTTATTGCCGCAACTGTCCATAGATACCCGGACAGAACTCGGCCGGCGAACCCACCTCGCACGGCGCACACTGCAGCCGGCGAACCAAGACAAAGGGATTCACCGAAGCCCCGCCCCGCCCGGCGCGCAACTCCGTCCGCCGAAGGCGCCTCCCAGATCGCCGCGTGCGCACTGCGCGCTCGGGGGAGGGAGCGCCGCGGAACCTGCCCCCAGCCGGAAGTGACGTTGGCACATGCGCAGCGGCGTCGAGGAGGTCTTTGGCAAGTAAGGGCTGGTCTGCGCGCGAGCTGGTTTCCGGAAGTGGTGCTGCGGCAGCATGCTGGCGGAGCTGGGTTTAGTCGGGACCATAGGCGAAGATGACGAGGTGCCGGTGGAGCCGGAGTCTGACTCCGCGGACGAGGAGGAGGAGGTATGGCCCGATCGGGGTTGGGGGCGCCGCGGAGCGCACTCATATTTCTGGGACTGCTTCGCTTGTCCGTGTTTCTTCGGCCCCTGCCCTCAACTCCTCAACGTCCGCCTGCCAGGCCGGCAAGTGACCCCAGAAGGGGGCCCCAAGGTCTTCCTCAATGTGCTTGCCACTAACTTTTCATCACCTCCCTCCGATGCCTGTAGCGTGCTGCGTCGTTTTGCTGAACTCAATATCCATCACTGAACTGATGTTGAACCCACGCCCTGTGTAGTAGAGATCCAAGGGGCGAGGCCAGGCCTGATTCCTGAGCAGGGATTCGTTCATTAAGCCAGTAGTTTTGAACACTTACATGTGCTGCTACACCTAGTGTCAAGCGTTCGGGGGCACAGCAGTGAACAAGATGGGCAAGGACACCATTCTCCTGAAGCTCATGTTGGGTGGGAGGGTTACAGACATTAAGCACTATGGCAGTTAAAAGGGGAACAGTGATATGTAAAAGGTGCTCACCCTTCAAAGATCCAGCCCGGGTGTTTGCTCCACGGTGGCCTCATCTGCCTACAGACACGTCCACTTGAGTGTTCGGGGCCCTCAACAAATTTAGCATCAAAGCTGAACTCAGGTCTCCCGCACCTTACCAACCTGCTCCATCTCAAGCCAGAAACCTGGGTGTCATCCTTGACAGGTTCCTTCTCACTCTCCTCCAGGCTTGTGCTGGTTGGCTCAGGAATCTCTCTTTAGCTTCTCCCGGTTTCTCTAACTACAGTGCTCCCACCCTAGTCCAGGCCGTTGAGATCTTGTGCCTGGGGACCCAGCATCCTAACATGCCTGGTCTCCAGCCCTTTCTCTGAACACCTTCTACACCCCTCTTCCCCAGGGTATTGTCTGCTTCGCAGCTAGAATCTTTTTATTTCTTTTTTTTTTTAATGTTTTATTTATTTCTAGGAGAGAGAGAGAGAGAGAGAGAGAGAGAGCGTGAGCAGGGGAGGGTCAGAGAGAGAGGGAGTCACAGACTGAAACAGGCTCCAGGCTCTGAGCTGGCAGTCAGCACAGAGCCCGACGCGGGGCTCGAACCCACGAACCGTGAGATCATGACCTAAACGAAAGTCGGACGCTTAACCGACTAAGCCACCCAGGCGCCTCTAGAATCTTTTTATTTCTTGAATGTAAAGTTATGATAAAAAAGGACTGTGGCAAATATGGCAAATGATAATGCAAAAATTGATATATGAAGTGCTACATAGCTATTGATAGTTAAACTAAGTAACTGAGAAAAGATATGCAATCATTACTGCTAATAAGGTTTAGCATGAGAGTTCTCATGAAATTGTTTAACTCAAGTAAGGAAAAAAAGTCAGCGTAGCACTTTTTAGTTCTTGGAAGCCATAGTTCAGCCGGTGTTCCTCCCTTTCCAGTTTTCACATGTATGGGTTTTTTGTTATTTTTCAAAAATAATTATTAGAGAGAGAGAGGTAGAGGGGGAGAGAGAATCTTAAAAAGTCTCCACGCTCAGGGCAGAGACAGATGCGGGACTTAATCCCATGACTGTGGGGTCATGACATGAGCCAAAAGCAAGAGTTGGATGCTAAACCCACTGAGCCATTCAAGCGCCCCTTGTTATTGATTTCTAAACTTAATTGAATTGCGGCGAGAGAAAAGAATCTGTGTAATATTGATTTTTTGAAACTTTGAAGATTTGCTTAAAGGCCTCCTATGTGATCTGGTTTTGCACCTATTCCATGTTTGTTCGGAATATGCATTCTCTGATGTTAGGTGCAGTGTTCTCTCCATGTTCCCTCGAATGAAGCTTATTAATTGTGCTCTTCAGATTTTCTACAGACACTTATTTTTTGTCTCCATTACCTGTCAGTTACTGAGAAAACTGTGTTAAAATCTCCCACGACAATTGTAGGTTCCTGTTCTATGCTCTTCCATCTCAGCACCAGACTCACCCTGTTTCTCCCTCTTCCCAGGGGCCCGTTGTGCTGGGCAGAAAGCAGAAAGCCTTGCGGAAGAACCGTAGTGCTGATTTCAACCCTGACTTTGTTTTCACTGAGAAGGAGGGGGCGTACGATGGCAGCTGGGCCATGGCTGATGTGATGAGCCAGCTCAAGAAGAAGGTGAGAACTGACGGAGATAGGCAGTTTCAGGCCCTGGGCTGTTAGAGTTGGACAGTAGGTTTTGGGGTCTAACCCGGACCTCACTGCCTTTTGCCACCTGCTTACATTCAGCAGATACTAGAACTCTTGGAAGTAAATATGTGGGGTGGGGAGAAGTGGTCACAGATAACCCACAGTTTTGATTAAAACCAAAGTGTAAAATTGTTGCAAAATCGGTATATTACAGATTCGTTACAAACACATTAATCGATCTATAGATGATGTTTTAAAGTTTCAGAAACATCGGGGCGCCTGGGTGGCTCAGTCGGTTAAGAGTCCGACTTCGGCTCAGGTCATGATCTCATGGTTGGTGGGTTCGAGCCCCACGTCGGGCTCTGCTGACAGCCAGCTCAGAGCCTGAAGCCTGTTTCAGATTCTGTGTCTCCCTCTCTCTACGACCCTCCCCTGCTCATGCTGTCTCTCTCTCTCTCTCAGAAATAAATTAAAAAAATTAAAAATAAATAAACTTTCAGAAATATCTTATTTCCTTCATTAGAAAGGCATTCTTTGAAAACATACTGAGAAGGGGAAAAAAATCACAAATTCTGTCTGGTTGGCATGGGGAAGGATTTTTCTAAGTAGCATTCAGATCTAAATATGACATCTCTTTGTAATTATATTGTTCTAAATAGTAAACACTTTCTGAACTGTGGATGTTCTTGGTTCTAGGTCAAGATTTTTCATAGTTGGCTGTTAAGTTTGTTGTTGTTCTTGTTGTGAATAATCTGCAGATTGATTAATCTGTCCAAGGACAGACAAGACTTTTCTTAACATTTGAGAGTCAACCCTCAGAGAAACCTTGCTTTGTCTCTTTACAATAACTGTGTTTCTTTTTCGTCTATTTTTATCAGCAGAGGGCAGCCACTACATTAGATGAGAAGATTGAGAAAGTTCGCAAGAAAAGGAAAACAGAGGTGAGAAAGCAAAGCAGGTACTTCTCTGGGTAGTTAAGCCCTGGGCTTTACCCTCAACGGGACCCTATTGTTTTTCTTTAAGCCTGAACTGGAATGCGGCTGGTGCAGACAGGCTTCTGTGTCTGTTGTTAAATTCCTGAAGAATCCACATAGAGTTATGCCCAGGCTGGAGAGCATAAGATTGCTCTTCAGAGGTTCTGGATTTCCTGAAGCTTTGTAGTTGCCTTGCTTTACTAAACATTTTTTCTAGGATAAAGAAGCGAAGTCTGGGAAGTCAGAGAAGGAGAAGGAAGCAAAGGAGGGCTCTGAACCAGAGGAGCAGGAAGACTTTGAAGGGAAAGATGAGGAAGGCTCAGAAGATGAAGACTCAGAGACTGATTACTCGTCAGCTGATGAGAACATCCTCACCAAAGCAGGTAGATGCTACACAGGCGATGTCAGAAGCAGGGACAGGAAGTTGGAAAGGGTCTGTCTTTCCTTTGAAGGATTTCCTACGTTCTTCTGCACAGTTCCATTTAAGGTCTCCTTGTTGACCTCCTTCTAGCTTCTCTTTTTTCTTGGGATTTTGTTACAGTTGTTGTACTTTGCAGGCAGACTGTACCTTTTTCCCCATCCCCAGCCCCACACAGCTGCTGGTAGGTCCCCCACATCCCACCTCAGATGGGCCCAGCCATGAGGGGGTGCTCCGTAATTATTTCTTGCAGAAACGAGTGCTAAAGTATGATAATACAGCATGGTGGTCTTTGGAACTTGCCCAGTTTGCTGCGCGGTGTCCTCATCTGTGAACCGAGGCTAATGACAATAGCTCCCTCAGGCTGTGAGGTAGAGTCAGTGAGGTATCCACATAAAGCACTTAGGACAGCATCTAGCCGATTGTGCATGCTCAGTACACACAAGCCCTGATTGTCAGCTCCGTTTTTCTCCACAGATACACTCAAAGTAAAGGAGCGGAAGAAGAAGAAGAAAGGACAGGTGAGTATGGGTGTGGAAAACAGCGTGCAGCTTACTTTTGCAAGCTGACTGGATTTTTAAGGCCAGTTAGTTTTCTTGGGCCCATTTTGCTGAATTCTTGGTCCGTCTTGTCTTTTGATTTCCTGGTGTAGGAAGCAGGAGGATTTTTTGAAGATGCCTCCCAGTACGATGAAAACCTCTCTTTCCAGGACATGAACCTTTCTCGCCCTCTTCTGAAGGTACTGGCTTCTTTTGGCAACCATGGGATTATTGTAGTCACCCCTTAACTAGGCTCCCAGCCCTAAGCTGGGCTCTTTGCCTCCCTGAATTCCTTTGTCCACACAGCTGCCAGAGAACCCTCTTAAACAAAAGTTCCATCTTGGCCTGCAAGGCCCAGCCCCTCTGGCCTCCTGGAGACGTCTCCTAGTACTCATTGGCCCTCAAACAGGTTAGGCGTCATCTTCCTCAGGGTCTTGGCACTTACTCCTCTCTTTGCCTGGAAGATTCTTCCAGTAATCTTTCGGGGTGCTCCTCACCTCTTTCAGGGCTCTACTCAGTGTCCTCTGCTCAGTGAGACTTTCCCTGGCCCTACTGTAAACTCCTCCTCCCGAGCCCCCTTGACTGCTGTAGTTTTCTCCATAGAGTTTATCTCCATACAGCACGTGTTCCTTTTTGATCTTTTTTATTCAACCAGATTCTAAGATTGCCAAGGGTAGGATTTTTATTTCTTTTGTTTCCTGCCATATCCTCCATGCATAGAATGGGTCTCCCACACAGCAGGTACTTGGTGAATGTGGAACAAATGACCAGTAGGAAGAATTGAAGCAGTTACCACCTGCTTGTTTCATGCTGAGACGACTCCTCTCCCTCCTGTCTGACCCTGTCTTTTTTCTTCAGGCCATTACAGCCATGGGCTTCAAGCAGCCCACCCCCATCCAGAAGGCATGCATACCCGTGGGCCTGCTGGGAAAGGATATCTGTGCCTGTGCAGCCACTGGGACAGGTAAGAGGAGGAGGCAGAAGGAGGGTGTTCAGCCTGCAGCAAGGGTCTGTGCTGATTTACCCAAGGGCCACTTCGCTAAATATGCAAACACAGGGGTGCCTGGGTGCCTCAGTCGTTTGAAATGTCCAGCTTCAGCTCAGGTCATGATCTCACAGTTTATGAGTTTGAGTCCCTCATCGGGCTTGTTGCTGTCAGCGAGGAGCCTGCTTTGGATCCTCTGTTCCCCTCCCTCTGCCTCTCCCCTATTCACATTCTGTCTTTCAAAAATGACTAAATATTGGGGCGCCTGGGTGGCTTAGTCGGTTAAGCGTCCGACTTTCGCTTAGGTCATGATCTCGCGGTTCATGGGTTCGGGCTCTGCGTCGGGCTCTGTGCTGACTGCCAGCTCAGAGCCTGGAGCCTGTTTCAGTCTGTGACTCCCTCTCTCTCTGACCCTCCCCTGCTCACACTGTCTCTCTCTCTCTCTCCTAGAAATAAATAAAACATTAA